ACACTTAAGCTGCAAAATGTGTGCGAAAAGTCCTTGAGTTGGAATGAGAGCAGATGACAAAGGAGGTGGGGGGCGGAGGGAGTGACCTATCATGGTCATTGCTAATCGGGGCTGTCGTTGCGTCACATCCTTCTAGACGTCCAACGTGCTCTGCCTCTCCTCTGCTCATGGCTGTTTATTTTTGTTTGCTGCTGCTGCTGCTGCTGCAGCAGGATTAGGCAGCACGCGTATCCTGCCTGTGGCCTGGACAGATGTCAAGTGCGCGAAAACTTTTTAAATTGTTGCAATCGACTGAGCATGAAAATTTCTTTTATGTTACGCAAAAATTTCTTAATTTCACAAAATGTCTAAATAAGAGTAAATTATGAGATAACGAAAACAACAACCGAAACAATGGGCTCGTGGGTATGTAAGAAAGTTAGCTGAGGTCATTTCGGTTGAGTTCCGGAATACAAAAGCAAAATGTTGGCCTTCAATTGTATATGTATTGTATGAGTTGAATAAAGTATTCTGAGGGAACTTTAATAGTTTTAAATATGACAGAGGGGAAAACTTAAATGAAGACTGATTTCACGAATGCCTAAAAGTTGGAAAGAATTTATAAAATAAAAAAAGTTAAATAAATATATAAAAAAAAAAGAAACAACAAAAGTGTATTTAAACAAATTCCTATTTACAAATATTTTTTTAATAAAAATTGCATTGATTTTTGATATATTTGGTGATTTGTTTCTATTTCTAGCTCTGTGCCTTTGCATATATTTAATCACAGATCCTAATTATTTATTTGAAATTGGCAAATTAACTTAACTCTTTCAATCTTATATTAAAATTGTATAAATCAAACCAAGTCAAGCTCAAAAATTTCAACTTACCTCGTCAATTCCAAACTCACTCAGATTTTCAGTGTTATTAACTCTCCTCATTTGTATGTATGTTGTTGCAACTCGTCTTAACTTTTCAGTTTTTATGTATTCACATATCTTAAACAGTTTTCCAGCGCGTGACCCTTAAAGGCTTTGCCTTAAATATTTAAAAGGGCTTTAGCCAGCATAGTTGGCCAGCCTGAAATATCAAATTGCCAATGCAGAGTATTTTCTCCAACTATTTTTCTCTGCGAATTCGATATTCGCTCATTTAAGAATCCTTTTCCTTAAACATATATCAACCCTTTTTTACGAACCTTTCCCTTCTTACTGTGAAGCTAAATACCAATTTAATTTGGCTTAATATACTTGAAAATTGAATATTGGCTTGAATATTGAATATTGACTTGATATGTAAAGCGCGTTCTATGACATTTGAATTTCCCTGAATCCATTTCCGTTTTATCTGTGGGTGTAACTCTGTGTATATATATACATACATATGTGTATATATCCATGCAGCATAACTGAGAGTCGCGCTATTATGTCAAAATTTGAATATTTTACATATTGCGGCCTTTGCAGCGTATTTTGATTACAAATTCCGTGGCCCAACGCAAGTGTATGTTGTATTGCCAGTAAATTTTACGACAGTCTCGGCTGGCCTTATTCGGAGAGCTTATCCAATTGCCAGCGGGGCTTCTGCCTCTCTTAGTATGCATTGGGCTTACTGAATGCCATCAACATGATGGCCATCAATGAACATTTTTCGCCTATAAAATATATATGTGTGTCGCTGCCTTAAGCCAGACTGCAGTCAATCTTATTGAGTGAGTAGCAAAGAGTTTAACTTGTTCAATACAAAAAAAAAAAAAAAAAAAAAAAAAAAAAAAAAAAATGCATCTAATTACAGTGACTGCTAACTATCTGCAGCAAGTATTTCAGTTCATTTAGCAC